TATTTACCTCACCGGTAACTACTAGTTATAGTAATAACATCGGATTACCTCACTGGTCAGGTTTTACAGTAAAATTCCCAACACAACAGCATGATGGAATGGCAAAAACATCCAGAGAGCTGAAGGATGTGCAGGGACAGGCGGCTGGATAAAAGGTTGGGTTGTCCTCCAATAGCTTCCTGACAAGGCTGCTGGCCTGGAGACTAAAGGGACCCAAGTCACATCGACAGCTGTGTCATTCATGGCACAAATACTCTCACTGACCCCCTGCAGCCTGCCCAGCCGATCCCTGGGTGAGGTGATTCAGCTCCCCAGCCTAACCCAGCACCTTCGTGGGGCTCCCTCCCTGCCCACACTGCCATGCAGAGGTACCAGACATGTGGACAGTGGACCAGCTCCAAGACAAACTTGGCTAGCACAAGGAGTGTAATGAACTAGACAAACAATAGGTACCCAAACACATTTTCCTACCCTCATGGGATTAAAATTGCTCCCCACATGTCTAGTCCTCTGCTCTGAAGCTTATTCCTCTCTGTAGATAGATGTCTGCGAAACAGAGCGCTGCTGTGAGAGCATTCCTACCTGCTTTCTCTTGAAGACAACACATTCCCCCAAATCCTGGGCAGAACCCCATTTCTTTTTACAATCAGCTCCCAAACCCCACTGGCAGTGAGCTCGGGGTGCTGCCTGGCATACACAGACCTCAGACAGCCCCCAGCACTTTGTCTCTGGGTATTCCCCAGGCAGATCAACATTTAGTGATGTTTCTTGTTACTCCCATGCCAGGTGCAAATAGGTTTCTTTGACTTACATCTCAGGGAAGGGCAAAGACAAGAAAGAGCCCCAGACCCCAAAGGGAATTTGAGCTTTACACAGCCACCCCGGCCACTGACCTCTGCCAGGTGGGAGTTTCCAAATTATCACAGCTTGTTTCCCAGGAGGCCCATAGCAGAGCACCTACCCTGCAGTTGGTTTTATTTTACAGCATGCCATTGTCACTTCCCCCCAGGTGGAAGCTTATTTTTACTGGGAGCACATTAAATCTCATTGTTACTGCACAGCTTTCCCTTCCTCTCCTCTATAAGAGCAGGAAGTAGATTTAGCACAGCCTAACAGCCAGGTGATAAATATTATGGACTGGGTGCAGTCAGCTATAGAGGACTAGAAAAGCTTCAGATAAACCTTCAGTGTCAAACATCTGCACCCAATGAGGGCCATCGAGCAATACAGGCTTGGGAAAAAGTGGTTAAAAGTCAGATTTTATTAATCTACACATACAAAGACACCAAAATAGTCAACTTCTTGTATCTATCTAAAAGCAGACATACAGAAATTAAATGAACACCTTACAAAATATTAGCAATGAAATGGCTGTGTGGATACACCGAGCTCATATCATTAAGCAAGTGCTGTGAAGCTACCAGTAAAACCATTCCCTCGTTTAACTCTCAAGTGGGAGAGGTTTTTCCAATTTTCAGAAACCTTGGTCTCTTGGGGACAGTCAGATACAATAACTCAGAATTAACACTGACATTTCTGAGTTATGCTAGGCTCTAATTGACAGCAGTGATAAAAAACACAGATGACATTTATCTATGTTGTTTCTGTTGTCTAGTCATAGTTTTAGGGGAGGCAATATTCAGATTTCAAGAGATGCCAGACAATTCAGAGGTTTCTGTAACTGGACTTTGGAGTAATATTTATAGTACACCTGGGAGCAGCCTAAACACGAATTTCATCTTCAAACTGCATTCCCATTCTTCCTGCCCACCTCAGCGCTCTCCAGATCATAGCTAAACCATCAGTTTAGGATAAAAACTCAGAGAAAGTCCTTTCTTCATTTCCCCCCCTAGGAACATCAAACACCAGAGCTGACTTTGTTCCATTGTCTCACCACCAAACCTTCCCTGGGTGATTCAGTCTGATGACAAATGGGTGACAGTGGTGCTGGCTACACCAAGAGCACGCTGCCAGCAGCTGAACCAACAGCACAGCTCACTGAATCCAAGGCAAAAGTTTCATTTCCCCCTTTGAATCTACAAAACCACACCTGGTTTGAGATATGGGGCACAACTTGTGACTGCTCTCTGCTGCACAATCCCTGCCCGCTTCAGCTCTTTTCCTAAGTACACTGAAACTTAAGAAATTAGTGAAATTAGCAGTGCTGAAAGAAACTCAAGATCCTGGCTGAATAACTGAGATACCTAGATTCCTTTGACAATTAAAAAGCCTCAGCACAGAGCAAGCACCAGGAGCTGCTAGCTGAGTGTTCAGCTTCTCTGCTCCCAGTCTGGGCAGATAAGGAAGCTGAACTATTGAGGGCCATGGTACCATGCAGATCCTTGGCAATTATACTGGTGCTCACATCAGAAATTCAGCTCACCTCACAGCAATCGGTATTATGACTGCAGAACATCTGAAAGCTGCAGCAATATACTTGTCAGAGCTTCAGACAGTAATAAGCTCATTCCAGTCTGTGGCCTCGCTCACACCATACCATGATGGGTCCCTTCACCACTCACAGCTCTGATTTAATGGGATCTGTCCCCACCCAGAGCAGAGCAGCTCCAGCACAGAGGAGCTCAGCGCCTGGCAAGCTGGGCCCGACCACCCCCCTGTGGAAGTCTCACCCAGGCTGTGAAATTGAGGCACACAAAGGTGCTTGCTTGCACAGTAGTCTCTGGACACAGTTAAAGTGCAAGCTGTGTTTTGCTGGAGATTACCATGTTGTTACTGGTTCCCTTGATACCATCAGCTCCAAAGTGTAGATACAGCCGGGGGAATGCTTAAAGAATCCAGATGCACTCCTCAGCCTTAATGTGTTTTCCTTTCCCCCAAATATTGCTATACATTTTCTGCAGTGACAGCCGTGACTCAGATACTTCACTAGAGAAGAGGAGGATCAGTTTCTTTGGTGCATGCTTATGTGTTTCAGCTGAATACCTAAGAACACAAATAGAGCACTCTGCCTTTGAGTCTAATATATCATTTTATGGAAATTACAGAACATACTACACAGTGGCCTCCTTTCATCAAGATGTAGGCTTCTTAGTATCATAGTAAGGAATATGAAATGGAACAATCTGCATCTTGCCCTGTTAAAGGACTTTACCAAAGACCATAAGACAATTTTCTGAGATGTGACTGGCCTGGTTCAGATCTCTTCCTCAGTACACCTCTCCTTTAAGTACCAGAAATGAGCTTCCACATGAACAAGAGGAGGTTTAGGAAAAATAAACAGACTGGGAGGCATTTATATGAAAAGCACTTAAATAATCTAATCTCTGTAGCTAATTTAAGAACTCCTAGGGAAAGGAAAAGTAGAGATAAGGAATCTTAATGAGGTCAGGCCAAAAATCAACACATGATCAGCAATCAAATGCTTGCTGACTGCCTGTTCATTATATGTGATGAGTCTGACAGTTTCTCAAGAGGAGAGACCATTACAAAAAATAGTAAAACATTCCACTAAAAACCCACTGAGCCAGCATTAAAGTCTTAGTAAATAGTAAAAGCCTAGTAAAGCATTGCTAGTCACTGCTAAAGCATTGCTAAGCAACCCTTTATCCTCCTTAGGACTGGATTAGCTTCATCACAGCAATAACTAACAGTCCTTCATCCTCACTCGCAGTGCTGAGTTTGAAGTGCTATGTAATTTTCTTTGAAATGCCAGTGAGAGCTGCCACTCCAATTCCCAGCCCCTGCTGAGGCAGGGAGAGGCTGTGCTGAGGGAAGCTTGTCTGTAGCCACCAGCAGTCAGAAGCCGGGCTACAGCACATCAACTAATTTACCTTAAAAGGCTTGCAATATTTATTCGCCCTCACACTTTAATTCTCTGTGATGGATAATCAGCAGCTGGTATCCCTCTCTAGTACCAATCTAGAGACACCTAGCATTGCTCTTGCCCGAAGCTCGACTAGCTGCAGTCAGAATTTCTGCTAAAGCACTATTTAACTGCAGAAAAGCCTGAAACCAGGGAACCCCTGGGTGCAGACCTCACTGGACTATTACTGAGGCAGCAGTTTGCTGCTAGGCATTGCCACCATCTTCCACCTCTAATCAGTATTCAAGTTACATTTGTACCACCTTCGCAGGCCCTCTAAAGTGCTCTTTCCCTGGATGTTAGTGATAAATCACCTACCAGCGTGTAAAACCAGACTGATGGTGAGCCAGCCCAGTCTGACCTACAAGCAAGCTCCAAAGACAAGAGGTAAGGGAGTCGACCAACATCAACCCAATCTGAAACCCAGAGTGATGACAGGTTATTTGGAGACCAGTGCCAATAACTTGATGTTTCAAAAAAACCCATGGAGCCTAACAGAAGGAAGTTAGGAGATTCTTGTGGGTTTCTTAGTGCCCTCTCCCCTGTGGGAAGAGGTGTTTGGGAAGCAGCATCCAGGGATCCATTTACTTCCCAGGCTATAGCAGAAAGTGGCGAGCTCCCAGCCACCTCCCCAACCTTTCTTTGTCTCTACCTGAATTTCATTCTTATATCAGCATAGATAGTGAGAACAGCACTCCCCTGCCTCCACACAGCTTCAACAAAGGTGCACCCATTGTCGTCTTCAGTCTGACAGATGTGGACTGTCACCAGCTGGACTTACAGTGCAGATTTAATGAACACCTAGGATTTACTCATATAGCTATCTACTTTAGTTGATAAGACAAATGGGCTAATAATTTGTTGTGAACAAGAATTATTCACTGTAAATGTTATTGCCTGTGCCTACATAAGGTAATTGCTAACAATAGTTTTTGCAATAGAAGAAAATCAGTTAAGATAGGACTCTTGTTACTTTCAAGTGCAAACAGGGCAACAGCTAAAAAATACGTAGTCTGCTATTGTGCCTGTATCAGAATGAGCATTTTGCAGCAAAGAGGTAACATGCAAGTCAGATCCCCTTATCTGTTATCTCTGGTTTATGAAGAACTCAAAAAAAAACCCACCACAATACCCATCCGCAGGTTCTGAGATAAACAAGGTCAGCTCTGCTACTCACACAGATGAAGAGTTGCTATTCCAGAAGCAGAAGGGCTAGCACCATCCTGGCAGTCTGAGGAACTCCACCTTGATCCAAGCAATTCATCCTCCAGCTCCTGAGGAAAAGGCACTGTTTGCTTTCCTGAAAGACAGTACCCAAACAACCTGGTTAGGTTTCATCACATGCTGGCACAGAGCAGCCAGGGCCCCAGCTGTTCTGTGGTGGAAAGAACCAAGAACAAGCCCCACACAGGCACAGAGCCTGGGCACAGCAGGCAGAGCCACCACCAGCCCCAGACAAGCAGACCCTAGGCCACCCCTCTCAGGAACAGAAGGGAGCAAGGCCACACATACAAGGGGCCCTCCAGAATAGATCCAACTCCAGCACAGGCCCAAGGAGGCAGCAGCAAGGCCAAAGACCAACAGCCCAGGAGCTCAAACAGAAATGGAGGCCCTGGGATGAGCTTAAATAGGGCCCAGGGACCATGGGCAGGGCGTGGGTGAGGCCTCAGGTGAGGTTGCTCAGGGCCATTAAGTGCAGGCAGAGGCCTGATGCATGCACCTGCTGAAGATGTTCACTTTATATAGGGTGTATGAAGCTATACTGGTCCATTCCTGTGTGAGACCAAAAGCAGACATTGCTCACACAGCAGACCCTCTCACCAAAGCACCCCTGATGAAGCTGGTGGCTCGCAGCTTGCTGCTGGCTTAGGCCTCACCCAGGCTGATGAAAGCACTGGGCTGGCAGCATGCTACGGTCATGTTTAAGCTAATTTTTGTCAGAGCTCACAGATTTCCTAGGTTTATGCCACCTCAGGAAAGGCACATCACTCCTTTTTAAAAACCGAGTCCCCTTCACTTGGTTTCACTTCTTCGCACACCAGCACCCCTAGGGCAGAGCTCAGAGAGACAAAAATGCCTAGCCTTAAGCAGTTGGATGTGAATAAGCGTACGACAAATTTACTTTCCCTAAGATCCATCATGCAGAGGCAGTGTTGCCCACCCTTCCTTCCACATCTTCCCTGTCTGGGGCCGACTCTTCTTCCTTATCTCCGGCGAGCGGTCCTGACATTCTCCAGACACACACATGAGGTCACGCAGAGACTTTCTGGCCAAGTACACTGCTTATCCACGCCGCTTACCCGCACAGAAGGTTGGGGACATCTCCCCAGATCTGAGCTGGAGGGACAGCTTTATCTCTGCAGGAGTCCCACAGACACAATACGGCTGTTTGCCCCGGGCCGTGCCTCTGCCTCACAAGGCCCTCACAGTTTTCAAGGGAACAGATTACGGGGCCATGCCAAAACTGGCAGCTTCCTGGAGAATTTGCTGTAGGGAACTTTGAACAGGTTGAAGGTAAAGAGGACATCCAGTAACCCATGGGTTGTGGGGTAATGGAGAAACAAAACAGGAGGAAGAGAGGACTGGGAAAAAACGAGTGCTAAAGAAATGGTTTCTTCTGCAAAGCCAGGCCGGAGCTTTGTGAAAATAGCCCTGGTTGCTAATTAAACTGCTCCTGCTCTTTATGTTCCCTTTCCGCAAACTTACTTCTCTCTGGTATAAAGACAATGAAGAACTTTCATTTTTGACTAAAGCTGATGTGCCAAATTGTGAGCTCAGTTAAACTGGTGGAAACGCACACAAAACATTCCCTTAGGGGAATGGGAATCGAGGGGTTCGGAAAGGAGCCCCGGTCGCACAAGTGGAGTTTCATTATTTGGTATGTGAGTTCATTATAAGTGGGCTCAATTATATTTCATCAGCGAGGACATAATAGCCTTTTCATTCAATGTATCTAGTTGAGTTGAATGCTAAGCACATCTGATGCAGCTTTTGGAAAAAAAAAACAAAACACGAACAGTAGCCATGTGAAAAAACAAACAAAATGACTAAGGCATCTCGGTGCCTCAGCAAGCTCTCTTTTCTCACGGAGCCATCGGATAAAGAAGTGAATGAAGTACAGTAGCTTAACATGCACTGCATGAGGGGGTGCGGTGCCACATTCGCTGATTTACTAACTCGTTTTGTTTGAGGGGCACTTGAAAGGCTTTGACATTTACAGCTCTGTAGTCAAATGTGAAAGGAAAGAATAGATTCTGTATCTCCGAGCTCCCAGCTGCTGGTAAATGTCTACTGAAAGCGCCAGCATGCCCCATGAGATCAGGAGGCACCGTTAGCCGCAGAGCTTTCCAGGTTTGTCTGCAAAGGCTATTAGAGCAAATACGCCAACAGACAGGAGGGTTAAAAATGTAAATGTACCTCTCGGAGAGATGTGAAGCCTCTCAATGGAGAGCTGCAATGCCTTTACCACGTTTGCTATTCAAACACCGTGCGAGCTGGATTCAGACGGCAGCCTAGAGCCTGTGGTCAGCAGCCATGCATCAGTTCCTGAGCACACACTGGGTATCCTAAGATACTGAAGTCAAAAGGGTTTAGGATGTTTTCCTGGGCTTTAATTGCAAGAACAGTTTTGTTTCTGTGTGAGTCACACGCTATACAAATGTTTGCTCTACTGTAGGTCTCCTACTTCATAAGGGCCTCACAGTTTTCAAGGATATAACACACACAAACAGCACCAGGAGCGCAACGAGCAATCTGGTGAAGTTTCCAGTTCTGCAGTAAACCATGCTGTTCTCCCCGACACAAATGTTACATCTGATTTGTCAAGCCTGAAAGCCTTTCGTCTTGCAAGTCAGTCAAGGGAACCCGCTTTTGACAGCGTGGGTGTTTCCAAGCTCTGTAGTTTGGGGTGAGCGGTGTCGGTGTCGGAGCCTTGGGCCCAGCAGCATTTTTTGACTGCCGTGCAGTGCAGCTTTTGTTTGCCTGCTGCTTGCTGACAGGCAACACTGGAAGCCCACAGCTGTCCGTACATGCAGTTATCCTGCCCGTCCTTCCCACCTGTTTGGAGGACCCTGCCTATGCTGTTAGGATTTTTTGCCTACAGGAGGAGCAGCATGGTAAAGACTGAGAGGAGCAAGGGAAGGAGGAGGGTGGAGCAGGAGATGGAGGAGAGGAAAAAGCCAAGATAGCAATGGAGCGGGAAAGCAGCACAAAGATACAAGGGGAATACGAGGATTAAGACCAGCAGGGAAGTGATAACAACTGTTTTCACAAGAGGGATGGGGCGGTGCTGATCATATGTAGACTAGGACAGGACTGGGAAGCATTGTTGGGCCTGGAGTTTAGACATGGCCTGCTTTAAATATGCTCAGGGTGGACAAGAAATGGGAGACTGCCCTACACTGCCAAACTACCAGGGAACACTAATCTGAAAGAAGTTTGAAAGCTGGTCCAGAGATCACTGACGATATCCATTCTTGCAGTTACACATTGTCAATCTCCATCATCCCAGAGACTCATCTGGAAAATAAACTCCTTGTTGAAAGCGTATGTGAATTTGCACTCCTCTTCCTCCAGGATGAGCCCAGCTAAACTGCTCAGGCTACAAAACACATTGACCCTTCCCTGGACTAGGCATTATTAAGACCTGTTACTTTCTCTTGTGCTCACATCCCCAGTGCCTGGATCTATGCTGGGGGGGACGCCACAGGGCAGATGGATACATGTCTGTTTTCCTTTGCCACATCCTGTGAAGAGGAGTCACTGCATATTGAAACAGCAGAACCCTGATTTTTCTTTTTCAGTGTTGTATTTTGGTTGCCAGTCCCTGCCCATCCTGTGTGCAGTGGCTCTGCAGAAGGAAATTCCACTTTCCCAGCTTTTGGGGAGGCGGCATCAACGGGAAATCCATTCCCTTCCTCAAGGGTGCCAGAACAGCACCTCCTGTTTCCCATCCTCCTGCAGCAAGAGGAGGCAATGAGTGTCCACATGAAGGTACATGGCTCCTGCAGTGATAAACGCAGCACTGGTGACTTGTTACAGTGAGCAGAAAAGTGGGTATTCCATTTATGTTTCTATCTAAATGGCATTGTGTAATAAATATGGACAAATTCCCCAGAACTGTCTGCTGAAACACAAATCACACACAGTTCGGATTTCACTTAGAATAATAGATTCGCTTCTCCTTTCAGAGGTTCCTATTTATCACATCTCATGCTCAAAACTTTTTAATTAAGAAACAATGCTGTCAGCATAGACTTTTGTGAACTAAAACAATGCAGTGGAAGAAAGGCTGCTTTGCTCATTTTCTATTGCACATGAATGACTAACAACGCTCTGTGAGAATGCCTTTTGAAGCGCACAGTTGACCACCGCCACCCACCATGCCCGGCTCGGTTCCGATTCCTCCCATGCACAGATCAATTCCTTAGGCTTTATGTTTCTTGAAAATGTGTAGGACATCTTTAGATTGGAGATAAGGTCAGCGCTGTGTTCCTTGCCTCAGCTGATGAGTTTCCAGGCTTAATTCATGTTGTCTTCTACCAGGAGAGAATATAAAATCGAATTGTAACTAGCATGTGAGAAAAAATAAATTAACTAAAACAAATCATTCTTTTCATCTGCTCTGATGCTGGCAATAAACATCACTGTAGCTGTGAAATGCAAATGAGTGGGGGCTTTCACTGCCTGACAGCAGCCATCACATCACCGGAGAGATGGCCTTGAGCTCCCTGCCAGTGGCAGGCACAAGCCATCCCTATGGCAACTGGAGCAGTGGCTTGCATGGAAGAGTAAGACTGGGAAAATGCTTACTTAATATGCTCTAGCAGCTGAAAATAAGTCAGCACCACAGAGGCAGCCTGGTTTCTACAGATCACATCAAGGGCTTCTTCCCCTGCTGCAGCAGGGATTGCCACCAGGTGCGACTTGGCTGAGCTGTGTGGACGTACCACTGGATGTCCCTGGGTCCTGGTCCCTGCTTGTTCTGACCCAATCTGACCATACCACACAGTGACCCTCATCTGGCGCACACACACAGCTTTCCTCCCCATAAAACAGGAGTACAGAGGAAGGAGTGGAACTTGGGCACCGAGCAGACAACACACCCAGCTGAGGAGCTGTCTGAGCGCTGCGAAACCCGCGTTCCTCTGGCCAGACACAGCCAGGGGACTAAAACTGCTTCCAGCACATCCTTTTATAGCCTGCTTTCCACACTGTAGATGGAGGCATTTGGAGAACAGCGCTAAAAGGTTGAAATGCTCCAGAAAGTCAGCAGTGCTTACTGAGCAGGAAGACAGCAGGTGTGGGGGCAAGCAGAGCAACTCAAATCCATCCTGGCCTTCATGTTGATGCTAGAGTTTGCTGCCAACAGAACTAGAAGAGTGTTGCCACCATACGATGCCACGACTCAAACGGAACAAAGGTTTGTCTCATACCTTTGAGCTCTTACAGCCAGTCATTTTTCCATGGATTGCTTTTCTCATGTTGGACAACCGACACCGACAAGGACCCTTTGTTTTTTCAACACCTACCTCTCCTTTTTCTATCCTTTTTTTATTAGCAATGATTATAGGGAAAGGAATCATCATTAAAAGTAGGGGTGAGATACCAAAATTTACCTGTTAGAGGCAAAAGCAATGGACAAGAATTAATTAAGCACCAATAGGAAAACTGGTTTGTTCTAATTCTAAACAG